CTGCATTCGCTCTTCAATTATATCCGTATTCATATCTATTTCATATCTATATTTTAAGACTGAGGACTGACAGTGTCAATGAGATTTCCCCTTCAAAATAATTCTCTCGAGTCCCTTCTAAAATGCAAACTAGTCAACTCAACTTATTGTAATCTCTCGTGAAAGAAGTTAACTTAAAAACTTTTTATCGAGCCTGTCCGTTAGCTGAAGCATTCAGTGGTGATAAACTTGCAGAGTTCTACAGCCATCTGCAGGAGTGCGTCGATACTGTGGCAGAGCGGTGCGTCACTATTTACTGTGGATTTGTTTCTCAGGTGAGAGAGATGTTAATTGGAATATAATGGGTAGGCAAGTATGGATTGTTACCGATTCATCTAATTGCGATCTAGAAATCAGGCTTCTTGAAAATGTTATTGCATCATAACAGTACGCAGCATAGGATTTTTCCAAATTAGAGTACAAATATTTAATAAATACTGTTAAACAAAAAATGCACACTCTTCTACATTGCCTTTGTTAGTAATCAGTACTTTTATGCATTTTTGACACAAGCAGAACGTAAAGCCATCACCTCTGTTACTTACAAGTAATCTTAGCAATGTCATAGTGTTGTCTGGTAAATGGCTTGACAGTAAGTACACTAAGGGACAAAATTAAGTTTGCCTTCAATGCTGTTGTAACCGTCAGCACAATTACAGTGCACCAACAAAAGCAGCTGCGCTGATATCAAGTAAAGTATTGCGGCTTGCAATGCAAGTGACAGCTGCTAACAGCAGACAGAGAGTACAGTGATCAACAGACATGTTGTTACAATAAGACATATAAAATAAACATGCAAACATTTTGTATTTAATAAACTAGTACCTGGAGTTCCCCCAAGTGAGATGACAATCTTGCTGGTTTAGGCCGTTGTACTGATGCATATATGAAGCTTCCTGTTGTATAATGCTGTCTCCATTGTGTCTTTCTGAAAAGGCTGTGGAACAATTACCGAACTTAAATAGGGGTTTTAAATTTTGGGGAGAGGGTTTGTTTTGCATTTTGATTGGGGGGAGCATTTGGGTTTGGTTTTGGTCTTTACACGTGGAATGATAGTGATCACGGAATCACGGGTGATAAACCAGGGAGATAGAACTTGTGTTCGGGAGTATCTGCTGTCCTGCACCCAGTTTTTGTTGTATTATCCTTCTCAGTGACTTGGTCTGGTGAACTTCTAACGTCAGCAGCAGGAAAGGTGGTAACTACTAGAGAGAGAGTTATATGCTCAGAGGGTGGATTGCAATTAAAGCAATGCAGCTGTAGGTTCCCCCACACATCAGATGCTTTTTTTGGGGAATGTAACCAAATGGTCCATTGACTGCAAAGGTCGGGGTAGATAAAAATCTGACATAACCTGTTACAAATGTCTTGGAGAGGTGAACATCTGTAGCTGCAGAAACAGCACACATCAAAAATATTTGCTTATTGAGCTATGAAAATTACAGAAAAAGAGGTTCTGTTGTGTAGGCACGGATAGAAATGTTTGGGGAGTTGAAAGAGACAATTCTAGGCACATTACCATAGTAAGGACAATTATCTTGAAGGAAGAAATGGTGGGGAGACTACAGCTATTTAAGGAGGAGATAACAAAATTTCTGGGTCATTTGAATGTTTGTGACAGGAATGCATAGATGCTTGCGAATTGCTTTACATGTCATTGATAAAGCAAATACTTTTATAGAAACAAAACTGCTTTTGATTGTGTTTATTATTTCAAGAGCTTTTTTGTTGTTGCTGCCTTTCCCTGTCTGTCTTCATTTTTGAGGCTCTTACCACATAGAATGTCGAATCTAAACACAGTGAGCAAGATGGAAAATGACTAAAAATTGACAGCGGCTTTTCCAGTGTGTTTTTTTTTGTTTAATACGTTGAGGCATGACACAACAACAACAAAATCTTGGCACGGTAGTGTAAGTTCGCACCAGCCTGGCTTTTGCAGCCCTCTTATTTCCCTCTGCCACAACTTTGCCGCTGCTATGACACTTGCAGGCCTGCTCGGCCGTGGTGCAGCTGATGCCCTGTCCATGCTCATATTTTTCTTATTGACAGTGAGTGTTCTTGCCAAACGCCAGGGACCATAGTCACATCTGTTTGTCTCCCAAGCTTGTCTGAGGCTGCTTGGGAACACTTTTTATCCAGAGGGCAGCTTTAACTAGGCCTAATACTCTGAAAAGCCTCTATTTGTAAATGCGTACAATGAGGCGACAAGTTCCTGTTGTCTTTCCTTAAAAATTATTCCATTTGACACTGCTTGCTCCAGTCCCTGTCACCAGCACGTCAAAAGCCAAGTTTTCAGGCAAGGTGGTCTTAACAAGTTTTATTTTTTCCGTAATAAAATGCCTAGCTTCCCTCCAGAGCACTATTTATAAATGATAGCTGGAAGCAAGCTAGGGGTAAGTAGAGAGGAGTCAGGCAAATAGCTTTCTTCCCTTCTGTAATCCACGCTCTTCTGATTTAATGCTAAGAAACATAATGCTGAACTTCGCCTGATTGAGGGTCAGAGTTCTCCCTACTTTATAATACCCCCATTACAAGCATTTCAAAATGTGCTGTGCGGCTTCAGAATAATACTTCATTTTGTCTAACCTGCCAGTTCCGGAGCAGTGATAGTTCTTGTCTGTTCTGCTTAAAAAAAAAAACAAAAACAAAACCAAAAAACCCCACTTTTTGTTTTGCTGTGATCTACATTGAGAGTGCATATCAAATGTTAAGACCTGGCGAAAGTAAATGCTGCTTTAGAATCACGATGTAGCTTAATGTTTGATGTTAGCGGCCATACAGCCGGGTCTGACAAAGCTTAATTGGCGCTCTAGCGTATTGTCGTTTATTTGTGGCATACCGGATTTTCGACGACAACAAAGAAATAAATACCCACTCTCACCTTGGCTGGTGATGGGGTGGTTGTGCTCAGCAAAGGCAAATGATTCATTTATGCCTAAGGAACAAGGCTGCCTTTCAGATGTTCATTGATTTTAAATTAAAAAGTAACTGCTATGTTCTACATGAAGGGTGACAACAATAACAAAGTAGTCCTTACTTAGTGTTATTTGTTGCAACTCCATTCGGTGTGCCTGGAGGAAAAGTGGGGAGACCCCAGTACCATAATCTTACAGATCAATAATCTAGATATCTCAATGTAGTGTAACAGATAATCAATTCTGGGTAAAATAACTCAAACACTGCTAGCTGTTACTGCTGTGGCTCGGGTCTTCAGGTTCAATTGCCTGACTTTATTAATTTTTATCTTTCATCCTACTTGTATTCCTGGCGACTTTCTCCCTTTTTCATTCAGAAGAGACAATGGAGAATTGCACACTGTTTAACATATAAGTTACCACACAACTTACTCTGCGTGTTTCATATCAATGTTATATACATCTCTTAATTTTTTTCTCTAATAATTGCTTCCCCTTGTTGTATTTCTTTATTATTTCCCCATATTAATTTTCTTTAATGTACAATCAATTATGAAAGGGTTACACTTCCTGATGTCTAAATCTTTCTAAATTTAGAACTGGAATTTATCACTGTGTTAATATACTAGTTCAACTGTGTTCAGTTTCTGGATGTTAAAATAGGATGTAATTTCAACTTAGAAGAATTGCAAGGAAAATGTCTGTTTTAAAACACGAAGAATTAAATAACCGTTGAAATAGGGGTTCAGTAGTTCAGAGTGCACTTCTGTGTGAAACTTAAATTTTTTTGAATATTTTACTATTTAAATAAAAGCACTGTAGTACTCATTAATTTACTGTATGTTTTTTAAAAAGTATGCAGAGGTTTGTACATTGTCATCTTTTTTCATCAAAGCATTGTTGTCACTCTTTTACATTATTGAGCAGATCTGAGGTCTCTCAACATTATATGACCATTTGTTATTCATTTAGAAGCAGCACAGCTTTAAAAAGTTTATAAATGCAGCAAAGGCCAAGTTATATACCCACACTGAAACCAGCTCCCGTGAGTGACAGAGTGTTACTATGCTACAGTAGACTGTCAGATGCAATTCTCAGCTCGTAATTTTAGCAAAATTCCCTACACTACTGTGGTAAGAATCACAGTTCTCAGTAACATTTATGGAGACAGATTAGAATTGTGGAGATAGAAATTACTGCTTCCTCCTCCCCCCCCCGCTTCTTTCCAAAGAAATACCAGCTACATGTATTCCATTCTACAGGCACTGTACATTAAGAAAAATAATAACTATAATTGTCCTTTAAGATTATATTCCAAAATTCAGTATTTGGAAATTCCAAGTTTACCCTTTTCTGTGGTATCTGACTTCTAATAGCTGGCTTTAATGCAATAAGATTTGCTTGTTTGCCATCCTCTGCAGCTCCGCCAATTTTTGAGTGTCCAAGTGTAAGTTCATAATTGTTTAATGAGTATACCAGATACCGTGCTTCCGTGTTATCGTTCTCACAACTTGCCAGTGAATTAGAAAAGGCCAAATTGATGTGCTACGAGTTTATTTCATGTACCTTTGAAGAGTTTACTGTTTCATGTTTTCTCATTCATTTTTCATCTTACCTTAAGAAAAAAAAAAAAAATTATAATACTTGTCATGTAATAAATGTTGTTCTGACAGTGAGGCGTTACTAGCCAATTGCTAACCTACCACCAGTATTATGATCTCTTTAGATAATTAATCTTCGCTATTTCCCTGTCAGGGGCAACAGTGTTTTTGTTTTACATTGAGCTAGAAAGATTGCCAGTTTTGAAAATTAAAAAGCATTCTCTTTGTATTATTTATTCCAGTAACAATTTATGATGCTGCATTTAGATACTGAGCGGTTGTCAACATACATAATTATGCTTCAATATAAATGAGATTGGTGGCTTGACTGTGCAGCTTTGTCTTGGTTGAGAATGTTTTGATATAGGTTCAGATTATACAAGCTGCGTATTTATGTGGCGGTTTTCTTCCTTTGTTAATAGTTTTCTCCTGTAATTACTTGCAGGCAAACCAGTGTACATTTAGGATCATTGTGCATGGGAGACATCAAACGGAGAAGGAAAGCTGCTCCCCTGCCAGGACCCACAGGTAACCAATTTCCCTGGGACAGAACACAAAACACAAGATGTTAAATCTCTAAGTACAAAGCAGCAGGTCAGTGACCTGGGGAAATGCTTGATAAATTCAGTAACTTTCCATATAACTTCAGATATGTGCTCTCCTTATTTATTAATAGAGATTAAGAAATAAATAGGCTCTCTTAATTCTCCCTCAAACGTTTCCAAGTCCTAGTCCTTTGTAGTATGGCACTTATTTAAAGAGAATAAATCTTTTTTCATATACTGAGAATCATAGACAGTAAAGATTACTGCTTATGTCTGTTCAAGCATTACAAGGTAGAAGACATGAGGTAGCTTTTTTCTGTGAGGAGTGCATGTGAATACTATAAATGCACAATGAAGATAGGATGCGAATTCTCGGGCAAACAATTGAAAATGTGGAGATAAGGCTGTGAAACAACTTTAAAATTAGTGCTGTAGATTAAATAGGAAGCATTCGCAAGCACACTTCTGAAAGATTCTTACAGATGGGAGGTCACAACCATTGGATGCATTTTGCTGATGTCACAGTTGTGAAATTACTTTTTCAATACTTAGCAGTGATTTATAGGACTCTCATCAGTTTGTTGCATTAATTATATATGTGCATACTGGAAGGATTAGGGTCTGTGTGTGCCTGTGAGAGCCTTTTTATTTATTGTTAATATGGAAGTCTGGATTGCGTGTCCTAGTCATATATTAATTACTATAGCAACATATGCAACGCATATAGTTATTCAAATATATTCTAAATAGATGTCTTTAGAGAAGCCTAATACTTGTATTCCAATTGAATTCCCCCTCCTGAAACTTCTTTGTTTCAAACCTTAGTGGCAGAAACAGACCAAGAATAATATTAAAAATGTTATAAAAACACCTTAGTGGCAGCAGTATGGAAAAAGAGAATGTATGGGTCATCCTCTAAGACTCTGAACATATGTGAAGTGAGAAAGAAAAATACTTAATGGCTGAAGAGAGAATAATATAATTATTTCTACAAGGTGATTTTCACTTCACAACTTTCAAGTACTAGAGGATGTCTTTTTGTACTGAGCGGGTATGAAGTATCATGAAACTAGTTTTATTATTCATTTTACCTTGGGCTTTCAGCGCTCAGTATTTTATTTTACAAGCTGGCTCCTCTGCGTAACTTTGCAAAGCCAATATTTTGATACTAAGGCAAATATATTATGTGGTCATTCAATGTTATATATCTCTATATTCACAATTTTAGAGATTGTTTTGCCCACAAAATTTGCCTTTGTGTGGAGAGTGACAGAGAATAATGGTGGATAAAGGTTTTTTATCAGGTACCTTTTCACTAATGTGTGGGGTTTTGTCTTCCTAAGTTCAAGGTAATCTTTTCAATTTTGTTCTGAGCAGGACAATTTAAAATTTTTTCTGTGTTCTTATCAAAGTTTTTTTTTCTGCATTTCATCATTTAAAATTTTTAACTAAATAGAAACTTTGGTAAACTTTGAGTAAATTTTTACATGTGTGTAGGTAATTATAACACTTTATAAATTAATACAGTTTTCTCAAAGGTTAACCTTCCTACAGCTAAATTATGGTTTATCCATCACAGGCCTTGTTTGTTTGTCAGTATTTCATACCATTTTGTGAATTACCACTTCATACCTTTTAGAATGGAAATACATTTGGAAATATGGATTAAAATGAAAGATTACTATTTGATTATACTTCCTTCAGTAGTTTTAGTTAGCTAAGATACAGGAGCAGAAGGACTAGATACTATGTAGAAGAATTTGTGAACTTTTTGCTTGAAAGAAAGAAAGGACAGAAGTTGTTTATTTACATGAGCAAAAGTTGGAAATTAAAGGAAGCGGTCTCCTAGTAATTGTCTATATTCGACATCACAGTAAAACCTGAAAGGCTGTCTGTAAATGAGTCATTAACTGAAAACATTTTCTTGAGCTATATGTGCTGCAAATTAGCAAAGTTTTACCTAATAAGAGCCAATACATTGAATAACGTATTTTCAAAATTCTTGTCTGCATTTTTTGAATAAATGATATCAGTAAATTAATTCTTGTATCACTGTGCAGTGTTGAAAATGGTCATTTATATGTTTAGTTACAGTAGTATTGAAGAGAATGACTGGTGATCCTAATAAAGTATCGAAATATGTTCTGTGCTTTTGAGTCTCACAAGGGTAGTGCCTGCTACTTTCAGACACCTTACAAAGCCACAGACTTCTGTAGCAAGCAGTGTTATTGGCTAAACATTTATTAATTGTGACAAGAACACCCAATTTATTTCAGTACTCCAGCTTATTTACTGCTCTTTCACCTTTGTATTTTGTATTGAAAAAGTAAAATGAATATTGATAGAGTTAGATATTGATTTCTAAATTTATAGCCTGTTCTGAGCTTGGAGTCAAAGTCACATACCAATAGGTTTGTGTATATTAGTAACAAAGGATGTAGATTTACTTGTACAGCAATGAGAAACTATTGAAGCAAGAAAGTTTGAGCAGCACGCAGCATTTTATAGTTTCAAAAATGTCATTTGTAAAGGTGAAGAAAAGCTGCATTGAAAAGCAGTGAAGAAAATGGGAGATAATATATAGGTATGGATTGTTAGGACAGGAGTGTCCTATTCTCCCTTTTTTAATAAGATAAATTTTCTGTTTTGCGGATGCTTGATACAGCCCCATCTGTGTGATACTGAACAGTTAATTAGTTTATCAGCTAAAAAAAGATACTAGTAAATTGTTTACTTCCTATGATTTCTTTTAAGAATTAGGTGTTGTACATTATAAACATCTAATTTTTGCACGGCTTATTTCATGAAACCAATATTATTTCAGTGATTCTAGTCAGATTTGGGACCAGGTCATTCTCAATGACTTTATGTCCTCTCTAACTACCTGAGTGGTAGAGCTATTTCGTGTGACGCTCTGACATATTTCATTGCAGCAATAAAGTGCCTGCGAGTTTGTATAAAAACCTCTTAGACAAACTAATACATTATCATGGAAAATAGCCCTACCAAAACTGGGTCTAGTATTAATGAAAAAAAGTAGGAAAACAAAAACAAGAAAAGAATTTGTGTGCAAGAGAAAAGGACATTCTCTGCCAAGTATTGTTACTAGTTGAAACGCATGCATTGGGAATGTTTATGGTAACTTCAGTCTTAGATTACCTAGTTTGTCTCCTATCCAACCAGTAGATGCTACAGAATTTCAGATGCCGTGTTCATACACTGAATATGCGTTTACCCCAGTTCTTTTCTTGTTGACACTCTGTCATCTTGTGTACAAGCTTTTTTCCTCAGTCGACTCCTGTTAAATCCCCAAGACCTTTTAGATTATTTTTTTTAATAAGAAACCTCTAAATCTTAAATGATGAAAAAAATCATCAAATTTGGCTTCACACATGTGGGATGTTAATAACTTAGTTTACAGAATGTAGGAAGTTTGATTCAGAACAAACAAGTTTTACTCGGGTGCCTTGTAAACAGCCATTTATTTCTATTTGGAAACAGTCTTTTTGCTCTGATGTTTACATAGCATGGTTTACAATTTGGAGCAATGTTGAAAACCTGCAAAACCTAATTTTAAAAAGAGAAGGCTATTTTGTGCTTAAAATACAGAGAATGGGCATATAAAATATATAAATTATTGTGCATGTTTTGGGCAGTTTAATACTCAGATTTTGCAAAAGCAACTTTCAGATGTCATTTTCTTTATCTAGTTGGCATGGTGTACGCTACACTTCAGGCTGGTACTGATTGAAATGACCAAGTTAAAAGTCTCATTTTAAAGAATGTGTTTTAATGAAAAATATGACAGATTCTTAATTACAGCAGAAATACTGAGCACTGCTATAATGCCGTCATGACTCACTTTAACAAGATAATCAAAAGGGTACATGTTTTCATTCCTTTTTAAAAATTGCCAACAGAACAGCTAAGCAAACTATTTTGCTGATGCTTAATATGTCAGTGATTAAAAATCAGACCTGAATATCTCCAGTCCCAAAATGATGATTTGAAAAGATTGTGATTACACTGTGATATCCGAGGTGGCTAAAGCTAAGTTTGTGGTGAAGGTCAACTTAGTTGCAGAGAAGGGGTAGGCTTTTGTGTACTTGGATGAACTGGCAGTAAATTTCCAAAACTCTAGACAGACTGCTATATGCCTACTTTCTTTTTACCTTGATTCACTGCTTTTCCACGTACTAAATATACAACTCATAGACAGAAATCCCTTTTCACAGGGCAATACAACACCGGCATGTGTTGTAACGCTTTCCCTCATTGCGTTGCGCCATTTCTTATCCTTAGTCTACCAAAGTCCTTCCTGGGTATCTGCTTGATTGTCCAGCCTTTAGATACTCTTTCTTGTTTGGTTGGTTTCTGCAGCAGATTAAATTTTAGGGCTGCCTTTCTGATTTGTTTTGTTTGGGGTTGGTTTTTTTTTTCCCCCCTACCATACTGTCTCACTAAATCAGTTTTAAAATTAAAAGATCGCAGAGCACCATTCAGTATTGGAAGCTGCTGTCCCTGCGGAGCAAAAGACTTTTCACGTTCTGCTGAGGTCTTTGGTTTAGGCGGGGCCCCTTAAATATAAACACCAGAGTGGTGAGGAGACTTCAGTAGCAAACTTTAGGAAAGATCCACGGTGCAACAAGAACCAGCCTTAAACTGGGAATTTGCTGATAGATTTCTCGTGATCTAGAGAGAAGACAGTATTCTTCAGGCTGTACATACAGCCAATATAAAGTCAAGAAGAAACCTTCAGGTTGACAGAAGATGACTGTACCTGTCTTTTCTAAATGCTGTCATCTTCTGAAATGTGGAAGTTTCAAAAATAATTCCCCAAATTGCTCTGGGAGCCTTTCCTAAGGTAGCTGGCTCTTTCTGATTGTGGAAAGCATTCAAGTCACTCTTCTTAAAGGTTTGTTAGCAAGTAATTTACTTTTTGAATAAGGAAAGAAGCCTATGCATAAACCTGATAGCTTTATG